GCAACCTCTTCATTAGCAACATGGAAAGAGGAGGCTCGGGGAGACGGAGATGTGTAACATGGCTACTGAGAGTCCTGGCACTAGAGTCAAATGGGGTATGTTTGAATTTGACTCTGTGGTGTATAGGCAATGACTTGGAGCAAATTAATTCTCCTCTTTAAGCCCCAACCTTCTCATTTAAACAATGCGAACTCCATAGTGTTGTGCTTTGGGCCTAGCTAAGTAAATTATTATAGTTATTGTGGTTGTTATCACTCAACAGAAAACTCCTTATTGTATAATGTACATAAACTAACAGGATGTAGAATTGTGTGCATATTTTAAACAAAACAAAAACATAATCCCTTGGCAGTGCAGAGAGAGAATTATTGGTGGGATTATGGGTTATTTGTTTTCTCTTTTCTATGCTGTTTTTTAAGATCCTGACAGCATTACGTGGCTTTTAAAATTGAAGTGAGAAGTGTGCACTCATAGGAAGGATCTCCTTCTAAAGAGAAAGTGCTCTCGTGGTGGGATTTGTGCTGTCCCAGCAGGAACGCCTCATTGAGACATGGGGGCGGTGAAGATACAGTCCAGGTGCATCCTTAGGAGATTTTTTGGATGCTAGTACTTCTGGCGTCTCTCCCCATGGCTGAGCTGTTTCTGGATTGCCCTTTTTAAGGAGATCTTCTATTCAGAGGCTGAGACCAGGGATCACTGATATGGGAGGGGCCTAAAGATTTAGTTTAAGATCTGAGAAAACCCTTTTAAATTTTGTTGTCAATTTAAAACATCTGCCTTTAAAAATTTTTTTTAATCATTTTAGTGGGGTCTCTTACAGCTCTTATCACAATCCATACTTCCATCCATTGTGTCAAGCACACTTGTACATATGTTACCATCATCATTTTCAAAACATTTTCTTTATACTTGAGCCCTTGGTATCAGCTCATTCCCCCTCCCCCCACGAACCCTTGATAATTTATAAATTATTATTTTGTCATGTCATACACCAACCACTATCTCCCTTCACCCACTTTTCTTTTGTCGGTCCTCCTAGCATTTCAGGCTGGGTGGGTTATTGTGGGGTGAAGGGGGGTCCCCAACTAATCATCACAGGTCTGGTAGGTGCAATTGTACAGCGATAATTAAAGATTATAGTAAAGTCATAGAGAGCATGAGAGGTAGAGGAGAGATTGGAATAATGGAGTCAGACACAATTTATGGTAGCATGCTCACCTCAGCCCCTGCTTGGTGGTCCTCGTGGGGGGAGCCCAGCCACGAGAGCAGGAGAGAGCCTTGGGAGCGAGAGCAGGAGAGCCCCTACTTTATTGCTAACCAAGGGTTATATCTCATTAAGAGGGCATGATTACAGGTAACCACACGTCACAGGAAGGGGCAGTACCATAGGCATACACATCGTGGGAAAGGGATGTATGATAGGCATAAGTATGACAGGAAGGGGATAAGCTAGGGGTGTGCCCATAGGAATGGGAAGGTCTAGGGGTATACATGTGACAAGATGGGTGGACCCTAGATTCATGATGGCAGCCTAACCTTGGTCATCCTTGGGCGGGTTTGACCTCTCTGGTGTCTCCTACAAGGAGACAGACAACTACTATCCTTATCAGAAGGGAGTGGGCCCTATTTGTTGTGGGATAAACAGCAGTGACTGCTTGCTCTAGATGGCTGATAGCTCTTAGGGAGAATGACCCCTGATCTACTCCTGATGACCTCCAAATGCATAGTCATTCCCAAGCAGCTATGTTTGGCATATATTTGGGGGAGACAACTTGGGAGAAATCCTTCTGTTTCCCACAGGTTATATGTCAATCATTAGAGGCATTTTATGCCTTCCTTGCCATCAATTTTAGATCACTTGTTGTTCCCTTGTCCCAGGGTTTGTTGGCACCCCCCTCCCTTTCCCCTGCCTCCGCCTCTCCTGTGTCCCCCTGGAACCATCAGTCCCATTGTTTTCTCCTCCAGATTGTTTACCTTAGCTTATCTTACCCACATAGACAGCTAGCGACAATAATGAGCACAAAAGCGAGACAAAGCATAACATAACAACAGAAACCAAAACAGCAACAATAACAACAGCAAAAACACCCAACAGCAGAAAAAGAAAAGCCTATAAATAATTCCGGGTCTGTATGTTGACCTTTATGAGTGTTTTCCAGTCGAGTCTGATTGGGTACCACACCCTGGCCCCCAAGTCTATTTTTGGTATTTCTTGGGGACTTGTTGCTTTGCTCCCCTTGGTGCTCTGTTGCACGCCCTTAGTGGTGGGCTCAGATTGGGCACAATTCCCACACTGTGCCTCCATTGTTGTCCCCCGTAGAGCTGTGTGTCAACTTGGGATGTGTCTCATGGTGGGACCGGTCCTAAGGTCCTCTCTGTGCGTTGATTGCTCCGAGGCGGAAAATCATCCTTGGGCCTTGGTGGGGCAAGAAGTGTTCCACACTCTCTCCTTCCTTCTTTATTTGCTCCTGTGTGCTCTGATCCAACACACCCCTCTTCCCGAGCTGCAGCTTCACTGCTGTCCTCTGAAGTGCATTCTTCTGGGTATGGTGGTGGTGGTGGGGTGTCCACATAGCTGGGATTGGGGCCAGCCCTGCAGACCTCTCTGCTGCTTCATGCCAGTGTGTTGCATTCACATCTTGGCACACTGGGTTGAAGTCTGGTCCCTCTCTCCCTTTCCTGTAGCGATATAAGCAGTACCCTCCCCTTGGGTAGGTTAGTGCCCTGTTCCCCCACTACCCAAGGGCATCTGCCTTTTGAGGCCTATATTTCCTCTCCAGCAAAATGTAAATGAATGAGACTCTCCTCCTGAGGCACTTCTGGAGGGGTTCAGAGAGATACCCAGTAGTACGTGGTCATTCACCATTGTTCCATAGACATATTTTGCCCTTGCTAATAGTCTGCAATTGTGACAGGGGTTGTTTTCCATTGTAGGTTCCGAGGGGCACCGATTATACCTGTAGCAGCCAAGCCTGGAGGACCAGATGCCCCTGAAACAGAAGCTCCACAAGGCATCTCAGAGCTTATTGAGGTACTTTCAGCTTGACCCTGGCTGCCCTCTGGCCCCTGCCTTAGCAGATGCCAGTATGTGCCACTGTGCTCTGAGAGAGGAAGAGAGGACCAAGTCAGGCCAGAACACCCCACGTTGGTTCTGTTAGCCTTCCTCCATCACCTTCCTTGAAAAATAAACTAAAACAAAAAATCAAAGGACCTTCAGGAGATGTGAGTTACTCCCTCCCCAGATCCTTCATTCACAGACAGCAGCTCCTCCAGCTGGGAGGTTACTTCGCGCCACCCACCCCACCTCTTCACGCTGCACTGGATCCTTGCCATATGCTGGCCCCAGGCCAAGCTGGGTGAAAGAGATGTGTAGCAGGTCAGAACAGCTGATGTCTAGTGGTCTCAGTGGCTATGCACAAAGGGAGGGAGGGAGCTCAGCCATCGAGCTAGGGGCCCAGGGGGAGCCAGCAGAGAGTGGTCGTGGCAGGGACACCACCCAGAGAGGTAACAGTGAGGAAGAGAAGAGTGGTGCTCATTGGTTGGGTGTCCAGGGAGGAGCTAGATGCCAGTCTTAAAAAGTCTTGGCGCTACCTCTCATTGTCTCTCTGATTTTGGGTGAAGGATTTCATCTCTTGCTTCTGTTTCTTTACCAATGAAGCAGGGAACTGTCTTAGTTTCTTTGTGCTGCTATACCAGAAATGTCACAAGTGAGTGACTTAAATGAACAGAAATTAATTTTTTTTAACTCGTTAGGAGGCTAGAATTTCAAAATCAGGGGTTCTGGCTCCAGGGGACAGTTTTCTTTCTTGATTGCCTCTGGAGCCACAAGAGGGGGAAAAGAAATCAAGGAGCAGGTGGGGGGTAAACTAATTGGGTGGGGCAGGTGGCAGGCTGTTTGATTAATAGTTTAAACTATTGAATACAAAGTTGATCTGAAATGTAAACCACCACCTAAATTTATAGTAAAAAAAACTAAAAAAAAAACAAATAAATAAATAAAAATTGGAAAAATTGAAAAACAAAACTCAAAAACCTTCAGCTTACACTTATTACCCAATTACAAAACCACTTCTACATTTTAGAATGTGAAATTCGTGTACCAATATGTCTTAGTTTGTGTTTCCTAGAGGAGCGCGCTAGATACCAGTCCAGCCACCAACATGTTTAACTGTGAGGTTTCTACAGGGGCACAGAGGAGGCCTGGTAGGTTTGTTGGATAAGTATTAGACTGTGAGCCACAGGTCCACCCTGCAAATCCATTGACATCTTCTTGGGAGAAAGATGAAGCTATCTTCTCTCATAAAGATTTATAGCCTCAGAAACCTTGTATAGCATTGCTATGTGTCAGAATTGACTCACTGGCATGAGTTTGGTGCAAAACCTGAGACATTTATAGGTAGATATTGATGAGATTTAGTTCAGGGATTGGCTCACACAATTGTGGAGCTGGCAAGTTCAAAATCTGTAAGTCAGGCTTCAGGCCAGAGACTTCTGCAGGCTGTGTCTCAAGATTTGTAGATAAGATAACAAGAAGAACTCAGGGTCTCAAGTGAGTGAGCCCTACCAGAGTAGCATTTATGCTGAAAGTGAACTGGGCCTCTGAAGACACTTCCCTTTCAACTGATTGATGGATCATATCAGATTATATCACTGAAGGTGATTACACCATGTTACATTACATTATAATATAGAATAGCAACCCATCCCGTATCTAACCAAACCACAGAGAATCATAGCCCAGCCGAGTTATATGTAAAATGAACCAGAAGAGGAATAGAATATTGACTTTTACCTTGTAGAATGGTTGTGAGGGTTAAATGAGATAATAAGTTAAACATTGGAAAAGAGTTATATTAATATGGCTCTGATGATTATGTGTAAGCCCTACATGTGTTGTCATTGACATGCTCATTGGGCCTGGAAGGCTTAAATTACTTACCCACATTCCACTGAGGAAGAATCTAAGATTCAGAGAGGTTAAGTCACCTGCCTCAGACATCTAAATGCACAAATAGTATCTTAATGCATAAATAGCAGGCCCGGGTTCAATCCAGGTGAGTTCTTGGGATCTGCTTTGCTGTCCCCTTGGACTGTGAGCTCCACAGCCAATGTGCTGGACTCTGCTTGGGTTGACTGCTGACTTAGCCAAACAAACACCCGACATTTTTTGTGTGAAGCCTTTATTACTTTGTCATTGGTTCCTGAGAGCCCTGGTCTGGAAGCAGAGGGCGATCTGTAAAAGTACAGTCCACAAGGATGCTATTGTGAGGGATGTTAACAGACCTTTAAGGAGTTTCTACATAAATCTCAGACCAAAGCCGATCATTCGATCTCTAGTCTTTTCCCAGATGAATTGTTATCACAAGACTAAGACTGTGGAATGTTCGTTACCACCACTATTTGATGACCAATCCCCTTTTGGAATCAGAAAGCAGCAAAGTAAAAGGCAGACTGCATGTGAAATTTTGGCGTGCGTGTTGGTGATTAAGTCCGACAGCATCTCGAGCACTAGATGGCATAAGGAAGATGGGCTTGTTGACGTTGGAAGCAAATGGAAAGAGCCAGAGGAGGAGGAAAGGCAGGACTACCCGCAGCGGTGGGCCAGAGCACTGACACGCCTGCAGAAGTTGGCTGGAACTTGGAGCAGTGGCCCATGAGCTGCCCTGGTTGGGAAGAAAGGCTTTGTACTTCCTTGCTCTGGGACCCAGCAGCCCTGGGGCTGCCCATAGCAAACCTAGGCAGTGGCCCTGGGAGCAGCCCTTCCTCTTCTCTCCCTGGAGCTGCTAGTCACTTGTCTTTGGCTCAGGTCCAGTGCCAGGTCGTGGAGGTACTTGTAAGTGCTCCCAGCCCAGGGGAGGACAACAAAGCAGGTGACCACAACAGAGTATGCCTACTGTGGTGGTGGCTGAGTACATGCATAGGATAGAAAAGCCCATATGGAGAGGGGGTGGGGTGCAGAATGACCAATCTGTAGCTGGAACCTGGGCTGAGGTGGGAGGTGCTGAGAGAGGAGGCCCCAAAGTACTGCCTATTCTGAAGGCATCAAGAACTGAGAAAGCACCTGATTTCAGGATCGATATGCCAAGGTGAGAAAGCATATGAGGTCCAGGATCAATCTGCCAAGGTGTGTTCCAGCAGACTGCCTCTGGGCTTGTGTGGAGGCCTGCAGACTGCAGTCAGCCCAGCCCGAGAGGACAGGGACTCTGCTCCAAGAGCCCCTTTCCTTTCCTCAGCGGAGCGAGCTGAGAGCAGAGCGAGGCCAGACTTGTGTCTGATCAGGGAATTGTCCTGTTCGGCACAGCTGGCCTGGATTGCCAGGGAGTAGGTCTGCAGCTGGCGCTCCCCTGGCCTATATGATACACCGAGGGACCACAGCCTCTTCCCTCTTCTGCCTTCCCGTCCCTGCTGTTCCTCCTGACACGTATGGCCCCTGTGGGTGTTGCCACCAGTCTCTCTTTTCCAGCTCCTGAAGTCGCAGATTCCCATCCCAATGAGAGACCCGTCAGGACCGTTCCTCATGTCTGTGGACCATTGTTTCTCCATCAAGGGCCAAGGCACTGTGATGACGGGAACCATCCTCTCGGGCTCCATCAATCTCGGCGACAGTGTTGAAATTCCTGCCCTCAAGGTCAGTCTCGCCCTATCCTTCCTTTTGGCCTTTCTGGCATTGGAGGACCACAGTCCCTTGGCCCCTTCATCGGCTGCCCTGCTCTCCTGCTGCCCCGCCCCTCAGCTCCACCCTGCTGCACATTCTCTGACACATTCTCGCTCCACCATGATTGCAACGTCCACTTGTTGGCGGCCTCCGCAGTAGGTGTTCCTGCTAGATGAAGAAGCTCAGGCTCCAGGAGGGGAAGTGGTTACAAGATCCCACAGTAAACAAGTGAGGTGCCCTGTGCACCCTGCATTTCTACAATCCCTCGGTGAACCACGGAGGCAGGTACCTGGGGATGTATTCCCAAGGACCTTCTTCTGACCTGGAAGGACCGCACGTTGAAAACACGTGGAGTTTGTGTCATCGCCGCGCCCTGACTTGAGCTATCCAAGACTCCTCCCGAGCCCCACAATCTGCTCATGATCCTTCTCTCTCGGCACACTCCCAGTGACCCAGCGGGGGTCTCTCTCTCCCTCCACCTTCGGGCACCGTAGCTTTTTTGGCTGTGATTTCAGAGGTATCTAGTGGCTTTGACACTTGTGTACCCCATGAGCTTCTCTTGTGGCTTTCTAAAAGCTTACAGCCTCACTGATTGCCCTTCTCCTCCAGGGGAGTTGGAGGGTGGGACTGAAACTAGTTGGAGCCAGTGAGGCTGCATTAGGGTGCTGGGGTCTTTAACAGGGACAGGGCTGATTGGTGGAGATACTTTTTTTTAATCGTTTTATTAGGGGCTCATACAGCTCTTATCATAATCCATACATACATCAGTTGTGTAAAGCACATTTGTACCTTCATTGCCCTCATCATTCTCAAAACATTTCCTCTCCACTTAAGCCCCTGGCATCAGCTCCTCATTTTTCCCCTCCCTCCCCACCCCCTCCCTCATGAGCCCTTGATAATTTATAAATTATTATTTTGTCATATCTTGCCCTGTCCGACGTCTCCCTTCACCCACTTTTCTGTTGTCCATCCCCCAGGGAGGAGGTCACATGTAGATCCTTGTAATCGGTTCCCCCTTTCCAACCCACGTTCCCTCTACGCTCCCAGTATCGCCACTCACACCACTGGTCCTGCAGGGATCATCCGCCCTGGATTCCCTGTATTTCCAGTTCCTATCTGTACCCAGTGTACATCCTCTGGTCTAGCCAGACTTGCAAGGTAGAATTCGGATCATGATAGTGGGGGCTGGTGGGGGGGGGAGCATTTAGGAGCGAGAGGAAAGTTGTATTTTTCATCGTTGCTGCATCGCACCCTGACTGGCTCGTCTGGTGGAGATGATTTTTTTTTCCATTGCTCTACAGATGATAGGATTCAGTGCTAACTGGGAGCAGCTACCTGGAGTGTTGACCTTTTTTGAGATGATTCCTGAAGCTGTCTGGCTTGCTGGGTGGGGCATCTGAGGGACAGGAGGCCAAAGGAGCGTTGTGGATTCCATGCCTGTCTGTGCTTAGTTTGCCCTAGGAAAGGGGACACTTCAGGGATTACAGTATGCCAGAGCTCCCTAGGTAGAGGGGAATTTGGGATTCGAGTCTTCCCGTCCTCTGATTTTATGGTGATGTGGCTATTGCTTCCTCCTGGAGCGACAGTGCTCTTCCTGACCAAACAGGACCGATCAAAAGAAAGGCTTCTTTTCAAAGCTGTTCTTTGGCTAGGTGCCAGGAGCTGTGGATGTCATCAAGAACCAGGATGCAAAGCCTTGCTCTTCCGAGTCTTGGGGTCTCCCCTGTACACTGCAGGTGATGAACTGCTCTTCCTCTGCCCGCGGCAGGTCTCCTAAACGTAGATCATTTGTTCTGGAAAAGGACCATTTAAAAATCCACTGTAAGCCAGGAATTAAAAGGGCAAATTCTAAAAACTAAAGCCTAAAGTTATGAAAACAAGATAAATTTATATCTATCTGAGAAAATGCCATGGCATCCGTATGTGACTACTTTGGCTACACCCAGACCACAGTCTCAGCTCCCTGCCATCGAGTTCATGCCGACTCCCATCCAGCCCACAGGACAGGGTAGAACTGCCGCTGTGAGTTTCTGCCTCTCAGCTAGCCTACAGGACAGGCTAGAACTGCCACTGTGGGTTTCTGCGACGGTAGCTCTTTCTGGGAGTAGAAAGCCTTATCTTTCTCCCACTCAAGGGAGGAGAGTTCATCTCCATATCTTCCTAAGGCCAATTGCCATGAGGCAGAGATCACACATGCCTCCACCGTCCCTTCCTTTTTGAAAACAGTATGATTCTTCACACATCGTATAATTCAATAGCTCAGTCACATCAAGAATACTCGTGCAATCATCACCACAATAAATTTTAGAACATTTTCTTCGTTCTTGTACGCATTGTTATTAGCTTTCCATTTCCCCCCAGCCTCCCCTGCTGTACCCCCAAGGAACTATTAGTCCAGTTATTGTCTCCATAGATTATTTGCATATCCTAGATTTCATACAGAGCAACATTAAAAAACAACAAACTAACAACAATAACAAAGTAAAGCAAAAATCTCAATAGAAAAGAAAGCAGAAAATATTAAAAGCTAAAACAAATTTAAAATGGACCAAAAGGGAAATCAAATGATAAGGTGTTAAATGTTAACCTAATTACACCCACAACCATCCCTTTCTCAAGGCATTCTGTATGATGGCAGGCTGTTCACAGCCCTGGTCTGTAGTCAGAGGTAGAGTCACTGGAGATTTCCTCCATGTGGATTTCCCCTTCACGTGTTTGTTTTTCCTTTTAAACAGAAACAACTTTATGGGTGAAGGGAGACGTCGGACAGGAAAAGATATGACAAAATAACAATTTGTAAACTATCAAGGGCTCATGAAAGAGGAGAGCGGGGCGGGAGGGGAGAAATGAGGACCTAATGCCGGGGACTTAAGTGGAGAGGAAATGTTTTGAGAATGATGAGGGCAATGAATGTACAAAGGCGCTTTACACAATTGATGTGTGTATGGATTGTGATAAGAGTTGTATGAGCCCCTAATAAAATGATTAAAAAACAACAACAACAACAAAAAAGAAACAACTTTAAAATATGTAGGTCAAAAATGAGAGCAAGTGATAAGATATTACATTTTAACCTAACTACATCTGCCACAATTGACTTTACAGAGCTCTGTCTATAGCAAGGTTAATCACATCCCTCAACTATGGTCAGAGGGGCTTCATCAGAGGTTCATCCAGGTGGGGACATTGCAAATGGGTTTTGAGTTTCCACTGTCATCCATGACCTTCAAACCAGATATTCACAATTTAAGGTCTGACACCATTCCTTCCTTCAAATTTGGATTTATTTACAATCCTTGGATCACACAGGCTGTTTTCCCTAACATAGACCTCAGTGGGCTACTGTGACCTGGTGTCTTCTGCTCTGGGAGCAAACATATCTGAGGCCTGGGGAGAGGAGCTAAGGGTTAAGAGACTGTTGGGAGAGGCCTCTTGGTGGTACCTGGTGCTCGAGAGAGAGAAGGTGTACGACTGACGATTTGGGGCAGCAGTACTAGGACGAAGAGTATGGCGGACCGTTGAGGTGGGTTGGGCAGCCATGGCCAGCTTGTCGGGGTGTCTGAGGGGCATATTCTGAAGCCGAGGCCAATCTTATCTTCCTTATACAAGTGGAACTTGCTGGTTAGCATCCCCCCTACAGGTCTGGAGTGCACATACAGATGTAAAGGTAGATCTGTTGCTTTGGTGCACTGTTTTTCCCCAGCTTGCTTTTCAGCCCTCTCGGTGTCTGCTAAGCAACCCTGGAGACACATTGGATTGAGTAAGCACTGGGCTTTAACTGCAAGTTTGGCAGTTCAAACTCACCAACTGCTCCACAGAAGAAAGATGAGGCAGTTTGTTCCTGTCTTAGAAACCCTGTAGACCTTCATTCAGCTTTCAGTAATTCCTCTCGGCTACATTGCACTTGATCACATCCCACCGGGTGCCAGCGATTTTAGATCACTGTGTTCCCTTGTCCCTGGGTTTGTTGGCTCCCCACTTCCTTTCCCCACCTCCCCATCTCCCATGTTTCCCAGGAACCATCAGTCCCGTTGTTTTCTCCTCCGGATTGTTTATTTTCCCTATCTTATATAATAGGTCGAACATGATAGTGGGACAAGAGGAATGTAAAAGGAAATAGAAAAAAGATCTAGGAGGCAAAGGACATTTATAGAGGTATAAATACAAGCACATACATATGTAACTATATTTCTATATAACAATAGGGACATAGATCTATGTACTTATATTTATATGTTAAGTATTAAGGTAGCAGATGGACATTGGGCTTCCCTCAACATGCTGCTCACCTTTCCGACAGAGCCCTTGGAAGCTCTGTCCTGTAAGGCTGCTGTGAGTTGGCAGTGGGCGGTGCGTGCTGCTGTGTGGAGGCAAGGCTGTGGGGTAGAGCAGATGGGGTCCAAGAAGACCGAAGTCCTTCATGAGAGTGGGCCAGTTCCTTAGCCCCTCTGAACTTGGCCCTTCCTGAGAGGAACTGTAGTGCTCTGCGGCCCCTCTCTGCTTACCAAGGAGCTGAGCTGGGCTGAGCATGAACAGGCCTGCCTGGGAGTGCCGGGGCCGGAGCTGCTCATCCTCCCCTCTCCTGTGAGAACGGGCCTGGGGTGCCGAGACTGGAAGACCATGCTGTGGGGGATGCGCCCTCCTGTCTCCGGCACCCAGGGCAGACCTCAGTCAACGCGGGAGCAGACACTCATCCCAGGACAACCTTCCCCAGGCATCGGAACGTATAAAAACACATTTCAGAGGAGGTCGGGCTTCACAACTCCTTCCGACCTCCTCCCACCCCTGCCTCCGAGTTGGAGGCTGGTGCCTATTGGGCATGGGGGGCATTGTGGAGCAGGGGCTTTTCAACCGGACGGCTTCTCCCCAAACACAGTGACACCCCTGTCAGATTTCACTAATAGACTCAGACACCTCTGACCGCTTGAACTCCCTCCGAGGCAGGGCACAGCCATTCCAAATAAACAGTCGCA